ATACATTTATCAATATTTTCGTGATATGACCAAAGTCGTATGTTTTGGGTTTATTAGGAAGAAGAGTAAATTGTAGAAAACTGAAATCCATGCATGGCATATGAAAGCTGTGGAGCATATCCTCAGAGAGGTGCACAAAAATTAAATGCATTTCTAAAAAGAAAGGACTGCAGATACATGTATGTGCATTCTTGGCTTCCCAGTACTTGAATGGAAATTATGAAATATTTGTACTATTTCCATATAAGTTTAATATTTTTCTACCCTAGGTTAATTTTGTGCCATGTTGCCAACCAGCTTTATATTAGCTAGGTGGAGGTTAATTTGTGCCATTTTCATTACTTGAAAGTTTTTTTTATTTTTACATTGGTTTAATCTCTGCTAAACCACAAAGTTGGTTTTGAATGGTAGAACAATTATAATTTTTTAAATTAATTTGGTTAGTAAAAATTAAAATTCTCACCAGATTTTTGTTTTTGGGATCACCGGATATCAAGTCTTTCTTTTTAATTTTGGTTTTTCATATATATATATATATAATCACCGGATATCATTTTCTAGATTTCACAAATTGTAAGAAAATGAATTTCTCAATCATATACATGCATTTGACATGTGCCAGCAAAACCCTTCGCTTTTAGGGTAAAAGTTACCTTAAGTCATTAAGAAGTAGTAACTAAGTTTCCTTTCATGCAAGCCATCTCGAACTTCATGGGGCCATGACAAAGTCTATATAGCAGTACACAGTGCAAGTCAATTAGGCACAATACTCTCTTACTCACTCACTCAGTACAACTCTCCAAATTCCATTGTTTTAGACTCTCTCTCTCTCTCTCTCTCTCTCTCTCCAACTTCTAATTAGTACCCATGGCTTTCCCAAGCGACATTCACAACCAAATAGGCAGCATCAACAATACAAATGGTCTCATCCACACACAAATGGTCTACAGATCCAATTACTCCACAACTATTATTACCACTACTTATGGTTTGAATGGCTTACCTGCAGTGAGATCAGGCTTCCAAAATATGCATCTACTTCATTCCCCATCATCGTCCTCGTCATCTCCTGCATATTGGGGCGGAGTGGTCTTCCCAGATAGACCCGTGATACCAATGATAAGATCATATCAACCGCGTCCACCAGGCCTTATCTTGAGCAACCCACACATGATGATCAGGGAAACTCATGTTCCAGTTCAACCAACCCAAACCGGTCCAACATTTCCAGAACACACCCTTAATCTCAACTTTATGAGATTTCAACCGCCTAGAGTTGCACTTGCACCCCATTTCCCCTTAAATAACATTTCAAGCACTTCAACTTTGTCTGGATTCCATGGCCGCACTGGAGTCATGAGGAACCAACAAAGTTCATCACAAACCTATCATTATGGAGATATTAGTCCTAACCCCATCATGTATACGGCAACTAGATTTAGACCACCTCCATCGTTCTCTTCCAATATCAACATTGGAA